AGGCCCCCGAGGCGAGCCCCCGATTCCGCGCTCGCTCGCTTCCGGTGCGCCTTGAAGGGAGCGAGGGCCGCGCGCGCCGCGGAGCCACGTCGCCGTCGTCGTCGTTGTCGTCGCTGACGTCGACGCTGCCGTCGTCGTCGTCGTCGCCGTCGTCGCCGTCGTTGCTGCCCTCTCTGCGGTCGTCATCGGCGTCGGCATCGGCGTCGGCCTCGGCGTCGGCGTCGGCGTCGTCGGCCTCGTCGTAGTCGTCGTCGGCGTAGTCGTCGTCGTCGCTGCCGTCGTTGTTGCCGTCGTCACCGTCGTCGCTGGCGTGGTCGTTCTCGGCGTGGTTTCCCGGATCGCTCCTGCATTGGTCGCCCAAGATCACCAGGGGGGGCATTCGGCACCGACGGCGACGCCGCGGGCAGGAGGCGGCGAGGAGGGCGAGGACCGAAGAGAAGGATCGACAAGTTCAGGTTCGAAGGGGCGGTGCGCGATGTCCCGTAGGTTCCCCACACGGTGCTTGCACTAGGGTTCGTTATGTCGGTGTTCAGGACTTGGGTGGGTCGGCCGAGGTTTCGTCGCGTGCCCGCCCATGGCGCAACGTGGACGCTCGTGCGCCCCACACCGTAAGTATGGCTTACAGATGTGTTCGCTTCGCGTAGCTTCGACAACGCTGTTCCCAGCAAATTGCTCCCACCACGTATTTACCACCAACTAGCCAACACCGACACCACATGGTTGCCGCAACATAACTAACATCGAATAGGTTAAGCAGCAGAACTTCCAACGCGGGAGTTCAACACCCGTTCGTTGGTTGTATGCCGTTGGAACCCGCTTGAAGCCGCCAGGCTATTTGGAGCTTATGCCATCTCCAGAAATTGTGGTTCGACGTCGGCTTCCAGGAGTCGCTGAAACCTTGAGGGCCTGAAAAACAGATCCTATAGTAGCGGAAACGTCCCCCAGGAAATATATGTTCCTCCATGGCAGTACGTTCGCGTCGTGTCGACGCGGCGGCGACACCGGCGCGGGCGTTCGGAATGAACGCGGCCAGTGTTCAGGAATTGGCCAGTGTTGAACGGGAATGCGCGATCATTCACGGCTGAACGATCCAAGTGGTGCCAAGAGCCGTTACGACGTTTGCCGGCACAGGAGCCAGCGAAGAAGGCAAGCGATGTTGGTTCAATGTATTGCGGAGTCTCCAGGTTGCGTGTTTGTCGCCACGTCATCGAGTCCGGGTCGAAATTCGAATCAAAGCGCACCCCCAAGAAACATTCCGGTGGCAGACGAACGTGTACATCGAGGGCGAGAGCAAATATGGAACGGTTAAGGGCATTTGAAAGTAAATCAGCAATTTTCAAAAACCAAAGGGCCAAAGTGCGTGGCGCGAATCGCCAACGCAGCCTTCTATCTCCATGTAGATATACATGTAGGTAAACATACATACGTACACACATACATACATACACACATACATACATGCATGCATACATACATACATACATACATACATACATACATGCATACATGCACACATGCATACATACATACATGCATGCATGCATACATACATACATACATGCATGCATGCATATGTACATATATACATACATACATACATACATACATACATACATACATACATACATACATACATACATACATACATACATACACACATCAGACAGACAGACAGACAGACAGACAGACAGACAGACAGACAGACAGACAGACAGAGACAGACAGACAGACAGACAGACAGACAGACACACAGACAGAGACAGACAGACAGACAGACAGACAGATATGCATATACACGCATACATGCATACATGCATACAGGCATACAGGCATACATGCATACATGCATACATGCATGCATACATGCATATACACATACATACATATCCACACATACATACATGCATACATGCATGCATACATGCATACATGCATACATGCATACACATGCATACATGCATACGTACATACACACATACATACATATACACACATTTCTATATACATATCCAGCGGCGCTGCCGCGCGATTCCGCCACCGCGCCTGGACCGACGGGCGGGGGGGCGCCTCGGAGGGGCAGGAGGGGGGCGGGGCCACGGACCCTCCCCCACTCCCAAGACCTTTACTGTTGGGGCCACGTCTTGCCTGGAAGGCCACGAACGCGGGGACCTGGCCACAGCAGCGACCGCATCCTGGACTCGATGCGTCGGGGGGGGGCCCTAAAGATGTTGCTTCGCAGGAGGCGAAGCGGGCCCGACGCACACCGGCCTCTGCAAGCGCGGTGGCGGATCTAAACGGATGAGTGTATGTGTGTGTGTGTGCGCGCGTGCGTGCGTGCGTGCGCGCGTGCATGCGTGCGTACGTGCGTGCGTGCGTGCGTGCGTGCGTGCGTGTTGTGTGTGTTGTGTGTGTGTTGTGTGTGTTGTGTGTGTTGTGTGTGTTGTGTGTTGTGTGTGTTGTGTGTGCTGTGTGTGTTGTGTGTTGTGTGTGTTTGTGTGTGTTGTGTGTGTTGTGTGTGTTGTGTGTGTTGTGTGTTGTGTGTGTTGTGTGTGTCTGTGTGTCTGTGTGTGTGTCTGTGTGTCTCTGTGTCTCTGTGTGTCTGTGTCTCTGTGTCTCTGTGTCTCTGTGTGTCTGTGTCTCTGTAGCTCTGTGTCTCTGTGTCTCTGTGTCTCTTTGTCTCTGTGTCTCTGTGTCTGTGTGTATGTTTGTGTTGTGTGTGTTGTGTGTGTTGTGTGCGTGTGCGTGTGTCTGTGTGTGTGTGTGTCTGTCTGTGTGTGTGCGGCGTATGCCTGCTTGGCGGGAGGGCGCTGCCAGGACGCCCCGAGCCGGGCCGCAGGCGGAGTTTCCAGCGGGGCAGGTGCCGTGCGCGTGCCGAAGCGGGCGGGGGGCCGTCGCCCACGGGGGCGCCCTGCTGGGAGGGCGGGCGCAGGCCCTCCTTTCTGGGGCGGCGGGGCACGGTCCGTGTGCGGGGTTTGTCGAAGTGGGCGGGGGGTGGGGGGGGTACTGCTCGGGCGAGGAGAGCTATGCACATGCACCGATCTTGACAACGTCCATCCCTGACCCGGGATTGGTGCACATACCTTCCTGGCCAAGGTAAGAGGGCGTATGCACAGTTCCTGGGCTCAGGATGGGCCTGGCCAGAATCGGTGTATGTGCATAGATCTCTTTCCTCTAACTACTGGGACACCCCCACTTGGTGGGCTTGTTTTCCACCGCCACCACCATAAGTAGAGGAGGAGGGGGTCCTCCTCCGCCTCCTCTTCGTCCTCCTCCTGGGACACCGTTGAGGCAGGGGGGGGGGGCTGTAGCGTATACATCGTGTCTGCCCTGTATGTTTACATTGTGTACGCTGCGGCCCTGCAGAGGCCGCAGCGTATACCATGGTTTTTGCGCGGTATACGCTACGGCCCCGATCGGGCTTTCTCGATAAGCGGGTCGGCCCGCCCCACTGGGGCCGTATGTGGAGCTCCCTTTGGGTCACGATCCGTGCGAGGGGTGTGCCGAAATGGGCGCGGGGGTCACAGTGGGGACGCTCCCACCGGGATCGTGGTTGGAGCTCCCTGCTGGGCTCGAGCCGTGGCAGGGGTGTGCCAAAGCGGGCGGGGAACGCGCATTTGAGACAGCAGCAGCAGCAACATTGTGCAGCAGCGCAATATAAGCAGCTGCAGCGGCTTGCGGCTGGCAGCACAGCGTCGGCAATAGCCGCCGCATCGACAGCATAGGCCAACAGCGGCTGCAACTGCAGCAACAGGGCAGCGGCATCGTGCAGCAGGCAACGCAGTTGGGGCAGAAGGAAGAGGAGGAGGGACGGGCAGGAGGGATGCGGGAGTGAGATGGGGCGATGCAAGAAAGAAGCGATGAGCTACCTCGCTCCGCCCCGCGAGAGACAATTGTGCCGAAGGCCAAATGCCTGTCAGCGCGCTGGCGAGGAAATGCTTGAAATCTCGCATTCGCAAATTCTGCGGCTTCTGAACAAGGCAAATACAAGAGCAAGGATCACATGCATTGCTTTGGCGGTGCGGTGCCCTCTAGTTTGGGCGCCATGGCGGGGCCAATCAATTCACGTCATGTCTACTCCTCGTCTGCGCCCGCGTCGAGGCTTCGAGTGAAACGTTGGATGGAAGCCTGGCAATCCCCAGGATCTCGTACATACTCCAGAATGCGTACTTGTGAAGTGGAACATGTCGACGTGTGCTTGCACAGTCACGTTGTCAATTCGTTGTCAGTTCCCACGCTCTCCAATTGAAAGAGGCCGTGGCTGAGCAGACATTCATGGTTAGCGTCCTTGCCAATGTTCCAACAGTCCATACCAACCCGACGCAATGTGTAAGATACCTGCTGACATCTGCGAGTTAGAGCGCCGTCGTGTTGGATACATGCGTTACAAATGCCAGAGGGGGGAGGACGTTAGACCTGGCAGAGAGTTGGAGATCCATCCGATCGTTTGAGGGAGTGCTCGTGACGAGGGGTTGGAGCGCCTCCGTTGATCTGCCTGCGTGCGCAGATGTATCAGCAGGGTGAACGCACATGGCGCGGCCGACCTGGGCGATGGCTGGATGCACGTGTGCCCAGGTGCCGTTCGAGGGCTCGGCCCATCTATGGCCAGGTGCGCTGTGCCACCGCATGTCTACTCCATGCGTGGCCTCCGGGCGTTCGGCATATGAGTGCAGCCGCGTGCTTTCTAGCCTCTCCCGATAGTTTGCTACGCCTGCGCAGATGTACAGAATTCCCTCCGAGGCGGACTCTCTCCATGCAGCCCCCCCTGGACTTTCAGAACTCTGAAATCTGCTCCCATGCTGCTCCGCCTCGAACGGAAGAGAGCGAGAGAGAGAGAGAGAGGAAACAAAAAAAGAGAGGGAAAGAGCGAAAGAGAAACAACAAGAGAGAACAAACAAGAGAGAAAAAAGAGGGAAAGAGAGAAGATCGATAGAGAGAGAGAGAACAAAAAAAAGAAAGAGGGATAGAGAGAGAGAGCGAGACAGACGAGCAGGGCGCAACAGGAATTGCAGAAGTTCGCGTCCGACCAGGGCCTCGACATGGGCCACCTCGTCAAGCTGGCGTACCCGACCATGAAGGAGCTGCCGGGACAGATTCCCGCAGAGTGAGGCTGCTCGCCACCGGCGAGTTCTCACTGGCCAGGTTTCGGACGGGGTGCTTTTGGAGGCGGCCGCACACAGTTTGGCCCAAGATGCGCCTGTGGAGGCGGTGTGGGGGGGGGTGTTTCTTCAGCTCCTCCTCGCCTGGCATCCTCCGCATCCTCCTCCCCTTCTTCGCCTCACATCCTGAACCCCCGCCCTGACCTCAGCATCCTCTTCTCTCATCCCTGCTCCACCTCCTTTTCCCCATCGGCACACAAATAATAGCATCATCAATTGTACCATCTTATCGTTTTGTCCTCCCTCCCCCCCCTTCTCTCCTCTCTCACACTTCTCCCTCAACTTTCTCGTCCTCCCTCCTTTCTCCCTCATCCTTCCCATCCCCCTCTCCTTTCTCCACCTCCCTCGCTTTCCCCTATCCCCCTCCTCATCATTCCCTTTCACCCCTGCGCATTACCCCACGCCCTCGCCGCCCGTTGTTCTGCGCGGCCCTCAGGAGCCTTGGGAAAGAGTGTCCAGCTTCTTCACCATGAACAAGTCCCGCAGGGGTAGTTAATACGGATGGCGCGGGGAGGGGGACAGATACCACCACATCGCCCGCATTACATAGTTTACGCGACATAGCTACCACCACATAGCTGGCACCGAAGATCTTTGACCGGCATAGCTCACACCACATGGTTGCCACTGCGTAGCTCACATCACATAGTTCAAGCCGCAGAAGGTTCATTTCCAGGGTTCAACACCTCACACTTCGGGATCTACGATGGCTCATATGTATTTGTTGGTCTTAGCCCGTTGGGAGCAGCTGGAAGCCGCAAGGCTTTTTTGTTGGGAACTTCTAAAATCTCCAGAAGTTTGGGCTCGACGTCGGCTACCAGGAGCCGCTGAAATCTGGAGGGCCTTGAAAACAGATCATTGGGGCTCAAGAGACGGGGGTCACTGCAAACGGGGTCAGAAAGAGAGCCCGATCTTGCAGGAACCTGCAGGGCAGGGGTCGCATTGACCTGGGCTTGGGTGCAGGATCCTGCAGGATCTTGCAGGATCGCGCTGACACGGGTTTGGGCGCAAGATCTTGCAGGATCGTGCAGGATTCTGCAAGGCCTGACTGACCCGGGTCTGGACTGACCTGGGTCAGAAGATCCCCGAGAGGAGGAGCGACCCCCAGGACACTTTCGTTTTCTCCATAAGGGTCTGTTTGCCTCGTGTCGCCGTGGCGGCGACACTGGTGCGGGCGTTCGGAAGGAACGCTGCCAGTGGTCAGGAATCGGCCGGTGTTGACCTGGAATGCGCGATCGTTCACGGCTGTGCGATCCAAGCGGTGTCAAATCGGCGTCAAGCCAACATTCGTATACTATGTGTGCGTCGCCCCCCCCCCCATGGGCGATGCGCGCACCGAGAAATCTTATAGTATAGTCGTGGCGGGCGCTTTCTGGCCACACCGCTCGGGAAACTACATACTACAAGGTGGGTATGCTGTATGTTTGGGCCGGACGCGCGTCTCCAAGGAGGACATGTAGTATGAATATGTCCTTGCGCGTCCCATCTAACATCGACGCGCAGGCCAGGATTCCGCGAAGAAGGCGCGCGATGTGAGTGCAACATTTTGGTCGGAGTTTCCAGGTAGCGTTCTCTTCGCCCATATCATCGGGTCCGCCTCGAAATTCGAATCAAAACGCACCCCAAGAAAGCTTCGGATGGCACACGAGCGTGTAAATCGAAGGCGGAAGCATAGAAGGAACGGGTACAGGGGACTTGAAAGGAAACGGATTTCGAAGGCCAATGAGGAAGACGCCAAATGCCACCAGATGCGAAGCTCGAAGGACCAAGGTTAGTGGCGCGATTTGCTAACGTAGCCTTGCATTTACATACACATACGTACACATGGTTCATTTCTAAGTATTCGGAAGTTCTTGGATTTGTTGGGGGGTCCTCTCATTTCTAATTGCTCTGTCCTGGGCCTCCTCCTGGCCACTAGGGTGCCAGGAACAATTAACAACGAGCGCAATGAGAAATGAGCACGATTAGAAATGAACGTCGTGTATACGAACACATGTGTATATATATATATATATCGATATACGCACGCATATGTATATACAATGTATGTGTATGTACAGATATGGATGCCTACATACATGTATCGAGATGTGTATATACATATATGAAGCATACGCCCCACTTCGGCAAATACTTGGTACCGCCCTCCTTGGCCTCCGAGAGAGCCCTAGGAAGGTCCCGGGAGGGCCCAAGACGGCTCCGAGACACGCCATAAGGTTTCTCAGTCGGCCCAGAAGATTTGTCCGACGGCCACGAGGCTCCCACGAGCGTCCAAGACAGTGCCGAGAGCCGAGAGGCCTCCAAGAGGCCACCAACACCGCCCACGAAACCTCCAAGGAAGCTCTCGAGAGGCCACATGTTCGAAACACCTGAAGATAATTCTGACGCTTCGCGTATCTTCACCAGTGCGCTTGCGTCCCCATCTGTCGGGCCGCCTGCGTCAGCTCCCAATGAGGGTCATTTTGTCCCTGGCATGTGCACTCGCTACAGCGGCCTATGCGCCTCTGCAGCCAATTATCTCGCTCTGTGCCCCAGACGATATATTCCCGCTCGCTGGATCTGTCCTTTGAGCCGCCAATCAAAAAACAATCTTCACCAGTGATGGTCGCCATCGGGGTCTCCACGCCACCGGGTTGGGAGTGTCGTTTCTGGCTCTTCTTCTGAGTGGCTGCCCGCGCGCTCGCTTCGCTTGCCTCTCTTTCCTTGCTGCCTAGTCGCGACCCGGCTAGTGTTCGGACGGCCTTCGACCTGCAACGCGAGCCCGCAGACCAAAAAGTATCTTCACCAGCCCTTCCGTCGGCGCGTAGCCCGCCGGTCATGCACGGTTGTCGACTTGCTTCGCGAGCCCGCGTACCAGAAAAGTATCTCTACCAGCCTATCCAGATACGATCGCCAGGTGAGTTACCTTGATGAGGGCAGCGTAGAAGCATGCAGTGCGACAGCCGTCTTGGATGCCTTTGGGGGTTGCGGGGGGGGGGCGGGAACATGTGTTGCACGAGTCGGCAAAAGGCAGGTTGAACAGGTCGACCTGGGGCTGTTTGGGCTCTACGGGAGTCTTCTTGGATTCCTCTTCGACAAATGTTGACCTGTCACGGTTATGTCATTGGGGAGAGGCTCCTGCGCCACAATGTTGCCACACACGCACACACACATCAGATCATATTGCCACGGTTGAAAGAGGAGGAAGGGGAGGAGGAGGAGGAGGAGGAGGAGGAATAATAATAATTATAATAATATTAATAAGAATAATAATAAATAAGAATACTAAGAAGAGGAAGAATAATAACATGATGATGAGGAGGAGGAAGAAGAGGAGGAGCAGGAGCAGGAGGAGGAGGGGAGAGGGGGAGGATGAGGTTGCGTGCGGCCCTGGTGGATGTACCACTCGTTGCCAATCCTTTTTCCGAATGGATTCAGAAAACCATCAGCCCCCAAGCGCCCCCCCCGAGCCCCCGCTCTCACCGAGAGGCCATACCTCACCCAGCGTCCTGCCTCAAGAAGTGCTCGAAGGCCAAACTTGAACATAACACAGCTTTCTACAACTCCTGCCTTCTCTTTCTCGAGTTCGACCTCCCGCCAGAATGCGTTCCGCCTCTCCCATCCTTCGCTGTTTGTTCCCATTTACCTCGTTCTGGCTTCCCGTTTCACATGTGTTTCCTTTTTCTTCTCGCCTTCCGGTTTTTGGAGACACCCAAGAGCCCCCGTGTAGGCCTCCAAGAGCACATCCAGAGGCCCTCAAGATATCCCAAGATGCCACCCAGCAGCCCCTGTCCCCCTACAGGAGGAATATTCAAACAAAAGCTAACAATACCCTGGGGACGATTGTTGACCTATGTTTGAGCATTTGTTTGCTTTTGTTTGGCAATTTTCGATTTTCCGCCCAAAATCCCTTTGGATGGGGGACACGCCCGACCTAAGGCCAAACGGGGAAGCTTCTCGGAGCTCCCAGAGGTCTGCAGCAGCTTCAGCAGGCGGCTCGAGGGGCTCCAGCACAAGGGGGCGCCGTGGGCCTCAGGGGAGAGCCCATGAGGCCTCCTGGGCGCCTGAGGAGGGCGGAGAGAGAGAGAGAGAGAGGAGGGGGAGGAGGAGGAGGAGGAGGAGGAGGAGGAGGAGGAGGAGGGAGGAGGAGGAGGAGGAAGGAGGAGAGGAGGAGGAGGAGGAGGAGGAGGAGGAGAGGAGGACGAGGAGGGGGGGGAGGGGGGAGGGGGGATGGAGAGGGTTGGTTGGTTGGTGACCTCCCAGCGAGGTGGCATGTTGGGACTGCGGGCTCAGCCCCTTTAGTAGAGAGCTGCGGGGCCCCACCGGCGACCGACAGCAACCCCGCAACGTCAGCCCAGGGATGGATGAGACAACTCTAGGGAAGCAGCCTTGGGAGAGAGGGGGAGGGTACGAGGCCTTGCGAGCCACCGTGCCCAAACCTCCCTCAGCTTCCCAGGCTCCCTCCGGAGAGGTGCCACGCCCAAAGCCGGAAGGCTAACGCTAGATTCGGGTCTTCCTGGGGAGGGGGCATCAGCGGCCTTTCGGCAGGGATCCTCGCCCGGTCTCGGCTCCATCCTACGCCAACGCACGACGTAGGTACGAGGCTAGCCGGATGGAGGGAGAGAGGATCCGACCCGGAGGGGAGAGTTTTTCCAGAAGAGGGTCGCCTCTTGCTCCAGGAAAGCTCCTAGCGACGCTGCCTCGGAGAAACCTGCATCCCCTTGCGACGTACTCAGCAGGACACGGGCGCATTCCTCCCTAGATTCGGGTTGCGCTCTCCCCCGGACCTGCCAGAATGCAGCGCGCATCTGCTGTGTGACCCCGCAGGCGCCTAAGACGTGGAAGGTCGGGCTGCGGACGGCACGCTGGCATAAGATGCAACGTTGCTCCTTAGCCCACGACTGGCGCCCCTGCGTGTGAGTGAGCAGGAGGAGGCGGCACCGGAGCCGTGACAGAGGACGTTGACCCCGTAAGTCTTCCCATGGCAAGGACAACTCCATGGCTCTGCTGAGGTCCCCCGGCGGGACGGAGCCCAGCAAGGGCAGAGGGAATGGCCGCACGTGTTCTTGGAGGCACCAACGACCGGAGGGAGAGGAGGAGGAGGAGGAGGAGGAGGAGGAGGAGGAGGAGGAGGAGGAGGAGGAGGAGGAGGAGAGGAGGAGGAGGAGGAGGAGGAGGAGGAGGAGGAGGAGGAGAGGAGGAGGGAGGAGGGAGGAGGAGGAGGAGGAGGGAGGAGGAGGAGGAGGAGGAGGAGGAGGAGAGGAGGAGGAGGAGGAGGAGGAGGAGGAGGAGAGGAGGAGGAGGAGGAGGAGGAGGAGGAGGAGGAGGAGAAGGAGGAGGGGGAGGGGGGAGGAGGGAGGGGGAGGGGGAGGAGGAGGAGGAGGAGGAGGAGGAGGAGGAGGAGGAGGAGGAGGAGGAGGAGGAGGAGGAGGAGGGGGATGGGGACCTGAGTGGTTCTACCAACACGCGAGCCTCCATCCAGGAGCTTCTGCGGTGAACTGCAGGAGCCTCGGGGGAGCCCAAGAGATTCCAGCGGCCGTCAGAAGATCCCAGGAGTTCCCGAAGGCCCCCAGGCGTATCCCAGGGGCCCAGGAGCTTGCCAGTTGCTTCCAACCCAGACATCTGGCGTTCCGATGGATTCGATGCGTGGGCTCGCCAGACCTCACGACCCCGCTCCCCAGGGCTAGTTTTTCAATCCCGAGTCGTTAATTCAGTGTCACGAGGCCCAGAACTGGTCTCCAGAGACCAAAGGTGGCGACAAGCGGACCGTTGAGGTCTGCGACAGGCACGATGACGGCGTCCCCAGTCAGGCTGGCATAGGATGATGCAGCATTCGCTCTCAGAGCGTCCCCGACCGCTGCGTGAGCGGGAGCGGCGCCCGAGACATCCTCCAGACCCGCCAGATCAAGAGACTCTCGATGCATCTCGATTTGAAGTTGTCTCCACCCCGCCTTCGTCTCGCCCAGATCCCTGCACTCGCCCACAGACGGTGACGACGCTGACTTGCGGGCGACCGTGGCATCCGGAGGGGCTGTCTTGTTTTTCCAGGGGTGCTCTCTATAGATCGGGGAGCATCTTCGTGGCCGGTGCGCACCCGTGCCACCGGGCCCCTCCGTTTCTCAGACAGTGGCGAAGCGTCCTGGCTCGCCTATAGCCCGACCAAACAATGTTTTAAGAAGCCTTTTGTGGTTCTCAAGAAAGGTTCTCAGAACATATCTGGCGGAGTCTGTCTTGTTTGAACACATCGGGTGTATATTCTAAGCGCATTGTTTCTGTTCTTAGAACATTTGGGTTCTAAGAACATTTCGTGGTGGGACTATAGGAATGCCGGGACGGTCGGTCCCTGCTCAAGTTTCCAAGCATCCGATGTTCCGACTTTCTGCAACTGCGTGATCCTAAAAGTCCTGACCTTGATCCCAGGGTCAGCTTTTCATCCTGAGTAGTTGTTCGACGGCCCTGGGGCCTGGCGATGGCCCTCAGAAGCCGACAGTGTTGGAGACAACCACGGCTAGTTGGTTGTTTTGCCACGCTGTGGAGGGCTGGGCTCCTTCATTGGCATCCCTTGACGGCTGCTGCAGGTCTCTGCACACGACCGAGATCTCGTTCCGGCTGAGGCGCACTGCCGAGAGGGGCAACACGGTGGTGTGGAGCTCCAGGCATCGGGCAGTGCAAATGGGGGTCAGCACCTGGGGTGTCACCCCCCTCTTCACCTCTCCTCGTCGCCAACAAGAATCACGACGCGCTGTTTTGGACTGTCTTCGGCCTCTGGGGACCCTTGCAGGGCCACGGGGGCGTCAGTGAAAGACTCATGATAAAAAAGGTGTTCCCAGGGAGAAGGTTCAGACTTCCAGGGGTCCGCGCTGCGAAACAATTACGACGTCCGAGCAGGTCCTCTTGGGAGACCGGGGCGCAAGGAGGAGGGAGCTTCGAGGATATAGGGGGTTGGGACGTTTCTGGGCGTTTGTGGGAGTCCTGGATCTTGAGGGGTGCAGGCAAGATGACCCTGGGGAAGATATGTGCTAGTTGGGAAGGCGCCAGCCGCCCAGGAGTGCTGCGAAAGAAGGGCGAAGCGTCAGTGGACGTCCAGCGCTGCCCTGCGCAACCTGCCCTCGGGTTACATCGGGCACGTCCCTCTACAAAAGGAATATCCAAACATATGAAGAAACGAGTTAAGGGGACGATTAATTCTATGTTTGATCACATTGGGATATTTTTGACTTCCTTTTTTCCTCTCTCCCAAAATCCGCCTGTAGCCTGTGGGGGGACATGCCCGACCTAACCCTCGGGCAGGCCGCGAGGTATGGCCGAGACGTCGGGGGACCACTGGAAGAAGAGTCGGTATATACATTTATATATAGGTGTATATATATGCACATGTATATATGTATATACATACATCTATATATACACATATATATATATATATATATATATATATATATATATATATCGAAGGGCCTTCGGCCCATCCCGCCACGGTTCCTGGGCTGTGGGTCAGGGTTCGCAGGGATGCTTCGTCGGGTCTCCTCGGAGCGTTCTCGGGGGCATCTGGGGAGCCGGTTGGGGGGCCTCTCGGGAGCAGTTTGGGGGCCTCTTGGGGGCCTCTCGGGGGGGGCCTCTTGGGGCCTCTTGGGGGGCTCTTGGGGCCTCTTGGAGGCCTCATGGCGGCGTCATGGGGCATCCTCGGGGCCCCTCGAGGCCACAGGCTCGAAATGTCCGTTCGGAGTCCCCATCTGGGCCCCCTCTTGGGGCCGTCGTTGGGCCCTCTGAGGCCGTCTTGGGCGCCTCTTGGGCGGTCTTGGGGCTCTCTTGAGCCGTCTTGGGGCCCTCTTGGGGAGCGTCGGACATCCGAAACGGTGAGAACGTAAACATCCTAAGGCAAGGCAAGGCAAGGCGGTCTGCATGCCAGCTCCGGTGCCGGAGCGATCCCCTGGAGGGCAGACGAGGACTCTCACGCAGGAACGGCCAAACGCCGCATGGGCAATCTCTTATTCACCCATAGGCGACAACTTGTGCAACGTGACAGAGACAACAAGAGGGGGCGAGGGGGAGGAAGAAGGGGAGGGGGGGAGAACACATGCTCATGCACAACGTGTGAAACATGCAAACATCACGCCCTCAGGGAATCTCCCCACCGCAACCGCGGTCTGCCGACACTTCTTCTGGCAACCGTCCGGAACCAGGGCGTCCATTTCAACAATCTTTTGCTCCATTTGTTTTCTGTGTCAAAGAAGACACGGGCAGCGAACTCTGCTTTTCTAGCGGATTGGATGGCGGTCAAAAGACAATCACAAATGTTTGCCTCTTGGGGCCCTCTCGGGAGGCCTCTTGGAGGCCTCTTTGGGCGCCTTGGAGGCGTCTTGGGCCGTCTGAGGGCCATCTTGGGCGTCTTGGACCGATCGTCCGGCGACTCGGGGCCCTCTTGGGCCGTCTTGGGAGCCTCTTGGGGCCCTCTTGGCCTATCTTGGGCCGATCTGGGAGTTTGGAGCCCGGGCCCCTGAGAGACCTCACAGGAGTGAGGATGGAGGCTTCCAGGATTGGGCAGAGGACCTGAGAACGCGCCCACTCCTGCCCAGAGGCACGGTGGCGGAGATATACACACACGGTGCTCGGCCTTGCTCTCGATTGTGCCGTGCGGCCGCAGTGCTGCGCGCGTCGAGGCAGGAGCCTGCCTTGATGATGGCTACGCCGAACACGCAGAAGCCTCTTGGACGGGCGAGCGAGGTGCTGAAAAAACACATGCAGAGGTGCACGTGCATGTTTGATGCTCTACATCTTACGACTTGCTTCCGCCAGCCTGCTGGAGGTGGCCTGCGAGGGTCGACAGACCCGAGGCGGCACGCTCACGAACGACACGGGGGGGAAGCTTTTCTTGGAGGGGTTGGCTACCCCCACCAGTATCGGGAGGGAAACAAACACACAGACACAATGAATCGTCGATTTCCCCGAGAATATGGGAAACTATGGGCAGTGGGGGGAAGACAGAAACCCAGAAAAGATGGGGAAATCTGGTGAATCCTGTTTTTTTTGTTGTTTTTTTTGTTGTGTGTGTATGTGTGTGTGTGTGTGTGTGGGTGTGTGTGTGTCAGGGCCCCCTGAGCAGTGATGTTCCCCCCCCCTTGGCGCTGTCCAGAGGAACGGCCTGCCGCCCTTCGGCGTCACGCAGGGCCTCAGCGCGTGGGAGGCCGCTGGGCGGGCCAGGGGGGTGGAGCCGGCTCGTGTCCTTCGGCCAGGGGCACGGGCGGGGAGGAGGAGGAGGAGGAGGAGAAGGAGGAGGAGGAGGAGGAGGAGGAGGAGGGGAGGGAGGAGAAGGAGGAGGAGGAGGAGGAGGAGGAGGAGGAGGCTCGGGCGGGCTCTTAAGCGGGGCGCGCGCGACCCCAGAGACCCAACGCATTGAAGAAATCAAGACGGCCGATTTTCGCAATGTTCGGCCTTTGGGGGCCCTCGCCGGGCCCCAGGAGCGTCAAGAAACGACTCGGGATGAAAAACCGGTCCTGGGGAAAGGGGCGAGACTTCTGGGGACCCCGTTCTTTTGAAAAAGTCACGACGTCGGAGGTTTGGGACTCCAGCGTTCGTTCGTTCACTCGTTCGTTCTCCCCTGCGCCTGCCATCGATCAACGGCACGCGAGCGATGAAGAGTGGAAGAACCAAAAAAACGTTACGGAGGGGGCATTTGCTCTCAGGGGGGGACGCATCGACCCCCAGTCTCCCATTGGATCGTCGAAGAGGCCCGATTGCCCATTCGGCCCTGGATCGTTCGAGTTCGCCACTTGGGACCCGTCGCCGATCTGTCGGTGGTGTCTCGCCGCTTCCAGGTCGATGCTCCCCCCCCTCTCCCCTCTGAGCCAGGTCCCCCCCCTACGTTGCCCCTCGGCGGGGGGAGATGGGTCGTGCCCCTCAGGTTCGGGGCTCTCGATAGAAATCGCGGCGGCGGGCCTGGACCGCGTTCTGGCAGCATTTGGCTTCGGTGCGGTGCAGTTGGTGAAACGTTCCCTGATTGCGGCCTGGCGTCGGCTTGGTAGCCCGTTCGGTCCAGCGCAAAGCCGTGCTGAGGAGTTCTGTGCCTGGGTGGTCGCTGTTGAGGGGTCCCAGGGCGGCTGTGGCGAGGGGCGTGCCCTGCAGGTGCCGCGGGACGCGGCTTCCCTCCTCTCGCGTGTGCAGTGGGATGTTGTCGCTCTTCGGTGCCCCCGTCTAGCTCTATCGCTGGTGCAGCCAACCCTGCCTCGCCGCCGACGAACAAACAAAGTGCAGCGAGATGCCTCTGGTGTACGACGTGCCCTGGTGGGCGCACGGGCGATGTGCACAGCCCAACTTTGCACATCGAGGCAGCTGCGCGGGGCGGGCTCGGTGCCCCCTGGCGGGCATCGGCCGAGGTCGTGGACCCTGGTGGGTCACGGCGCGGGCCAGCCTCGTGCGTCGGGGAGTGGCGCAGCATGGTGCAGCTGACCCTGGATGCCCCACAGCGTTGCACCAGCTCGCCTCTCGGCCTGTGCTGGCGTGCGCGGTGTTGTTCTGGCAGGCGATGCCCGGTGCTGCAGTGCGCTTGCGAGCCAGCTCGCTGTGTGCAGCGGCTGCTGGGTCGACGCCACCACTGTTCTCGAGTGCGGCAGGGCAGGCTCTCATTCGGGACAGGTTGCCATCGGGTGAGGTTACCTTTTGGCGGCCCTTGCCTGGTGGGTTGGGCTGCTCTTGGAACTGAATGGGGTGTGCGTTCGTGCGTGATGCCATTCTGTAAAAGCCTGGGTCGTGTCCGGTCTCGCGAGGTAAGAAAGGATGCGTGGCGCCTGGTGTAGCTCTGAGCAGGGCTCTCGAGCCGAGACTGTGGCGATGGAGGGAGGGACGGATGGGGGCAGATGAAGGGGGCAATGAGTCACCACCCACCAGACCAACCCAACCCAACCCGAAGGCCCCCCTCCCCCCCAAACCCTCCATGGCCACTGGGGGGGGGGGGGCGTCGGGGAACACGGACAACACAGATGGAACCCGTACCCCCCAAACCAGAAATTAGGGTCTTCGGTTGGGGGGGATGCCTGGTCGGTAGTCAACGACCGAGGCTGGGAAAAGGAATGGAGAGATGGAGGAAGCTGTACGGTGACGGCGGTTCGTTTGGCTGGATGTTTTCTGTGCCCGCTCTCTCAGGTGGGATTCCGCCCCCGCGCCAGGAGCCGCCGGAGTCACAAACGCAGGGAGGGCGTCTATTCTGGTGGTTTTGACCGCACTCGATCCAATGCGATGCGATTCGATTCGCCGGCCGCGGCCGCGATTCCGATGCGATGCGAGTCAGCTCGGCTCATCGGCAGCTGTGAGGGCCCGCCAGAGCCTGGCGCGGCGACCCGATGTCGATCCGACTGGGGACGACTCGTTGTCGGTCCGATCCGTTTCCGATCCAATGCGATTTCGCAGTTCGATGAGTTCAAGCGTGTCTGGTGCCACAAGTGGTTGCAGTGGTAATCGCCTGGGTTGCGAAGACTGCCCATGGAGGGCCATCGGCACCAGATCGGAGATGTCTCTCTTCCTCCGACGCTTGTTCGTTTTAATCAATCGAGTTTAGTCAAAGGAAGACCAGGTCATGATAAGGACACATTCAAACCGAGGTTCCAGAATGTTCCAGATTCCCCAACCTGTTCTGTGCCAGGAGGGCCGCGAGATGCTTCGGAGATCCTGGGACGCATCCTGCGCCAACCGTATCGTGGCATCCTCATCGCCATGTCTCATTCCGGCGTGTTTCTCCTCTTCCTCCTCCTCCTCCTCCTCCTCCTCCTCCTCCTCCTCCTCCCTCTCCCCCGCGGTGTCCTCTCCCGCTCCATGCTCTCGAGCACCCACCCAAATGCCGCCCTGCGTCTGGCCTCGTCCTGCCGGCCGGGGGGGGATGAGGAGGCGGAGGGAGGAGCAGGAAGGAGGAGGAGGCAGGAGAAGGAGTTCGATCAGGGAGGAAGAGGAGAAGCAGGAGGAAGGAGGAGGAGGAGGAGGAAGAGGAGAAGCATGAGGAGGAGGAGTAGGAGGAGGAGGAGGGGGAGGAGGAGGAGGAGGAGGAGGAGGAGGGGGAGGAAGAGGGGGAGACGGAGGAGGAGCGGAGAGGAGAATGAGCGGCGGAGGAGGGGATGTTTCCCCTTCTCCTCCCAACTCCATAGTGGGGAGTTGTGGTTCGAGTGAGGAGGGGTGAGGGGCAGCAGGGGGGATCCAGACGCGACGTTTTCAGGCCAGCCAGTGTGAGTGCAGCGCCAAGGGGAGGGGGGGGACGGAGGGGTAGAGGGAGATATACGTAGGGGCAGGAGGAGAGGAATATGCATGGGACAGGGGGCAACGTAGAGCACATCGAAGAGCAGAGACTCGTCCTCTTCTTCACAGCTTCGTTTTGGTTGGCGAGGTCTTTAAAACTGTACCTGCGTCTCGGCCTCCTGCGGACACGGAATGTGGGAGATGAAACGGGCCCTCTCGCACGTATCTGTTCGTGAACCAATGGTTGGGTCCTTGAACGCCTGAGTAACATTGGGTCGTTGGTGGTACGAGAGGTTGGGGGAGCCAGGGGATCTGATCGTACATGTTATGGGTCTGGGAGCAACGACCCCGGAGTCTTCTGGACTCGCTTTCTTGTTTTGGAGGGCAGCAAATTATGAAGCAAATGTGTTGACGAGTTGGGCAGTGGGCCGTCGAATTAGTTTTGCGTGTGTGCATCCTCTACTTCGGTCAAGGGATTTCTGTGCCGCCATTTGCAGGCAAAGCCTGCAGGGTTGGAAGATCGAGCGTCAAGTGGATTTCTGTTGACGTGGTGGCGCAGTGCTCGAACTGATCCAGTCAGCATATTTGCTGATGGGCGGAAATCCTGCTGGCAGAGGTGTCCAGGACTGTCCTGCGAGGCGTATTGGCTGAAGCAGGTGTTGCAAAAGGCGCTGCATCTAAAGCGGTGGGGTCGGTGTAATCAAAAGTATTGGAATTTCGAAGCAAGCAGTCCGATGCAGATGCCGATATGATTGCAGTTTGCCCGCTGCCAAGCCATACTAGCACGCATGAGAGTTCCCTGGGTAGGTCTGCTCCCCTGTTGTGGCACAGGCACGGCAGGGCTGAGCACCTGTCAGGCGATCAGAGCAGTGAACGAGGCGGGCACGGCTCTGCTCGCACAGGCACGCTGCAGTGCCGTTTTGAACACATGCTCCGCGTGCGGATCGTTTATTAAAAATGCAGGGAATTTGTATTAAAACAACGATGAGTTCATGCATATATTTATTCATAAATTAGTCATGCATTAGAAATCCTATATGTTTCAAATCCCATGTATCAAAAACTGCCCTGTACCACCTTCATCATCTACCCTCCCAGTCTCCCCCTTCTTGTTTGCCGCCTTCCCCTGCCCCCCAATCATCCTTGCCCCCCTCTTTCCTCCGTCCCAAGACGAGGTGTCGTTGGACGAGGGAGAACTCTTCGTATGAGGACAGACGACGAGGAGGAAGAGCAAGAGCAGGAGACGGAGGCCGAGGGGGCGAAGGCCGAGAGGGCACAGGAAGGAGGAGATGGGCGGGACCGGACCGGCGGACGCCCAGCGGGGGGCCCGCCCGACAACAGGAGGGCCGTGATGAGTGACCCGACCAGCGTGAAGGTCTGGGCCGAGGTGACCAAGTTCCGCTGCGTCAGCGGCCGCTCGGGGCGTTCTTGAAGATGTCCTCCGCTCGCCTCCTGCCTCATCCCTCCCTCTCCTGGCGTCCTCCTTCAACCCTCGTTCCTCCTTCATCCTCCTGCCCTCCCGCTCCCCCTTGTCGCGCTCCTCCTCCTCCTCCTCCTCCTCCTCCTCCTCCTCCTCCTCTTCCTCCTCCTCCTCCTCCTCCCTCCTCCTCTCTCCTCCTCCTCCTCCTCCTCGGTCCCGCGGTCAGGAACCGTTCCGTGGCGTGTCGCGCCCCCGGTTCTGGCCCACCGCGCTTCGGCGCGACGCGGTGCACACGCCCCAGCCTCCAGGCACCGCCAGCGTCGCAAGTCTTCCCCCGCCGCCCGTCCAACGCAGCAGGGCAGCGCGTGGCCAGCCCGCGCAGCGCAGCGTATCGCGGGGGCCGCCGACGCGACACGCCCATCAGAAGCTTCCCGCCGCACTTCCGACGCCCTGAGACAACATGTCGACGGTGAGTACCCATATGGGATGGTTTGCTTATTCCTTGTCTGGCCGATCGGCGGGCGCTCGGAGCCCCGCCCTCCCCCCCCCTCGTTGAGAAGGTCCTGGCCGCTGGTGGCGCCTGTCTCGAGCAGGGTGGAGTCTGCCCCCTGGGGCGCACTGTTGCCAACAGCCGCGCTATGCAGAGGTCCAAAGCCAGACCCCCCCTTCCCTCCCCCCCCCTCTCCGCCGAACGTCGAAACGCCGAGTAAATTAGCCTGGCGAAGGACCCAACCATATGCAGCTGTGAATACCTTCGTTGTGTGCACCGCATTCGGTGGAGCTCCCATTGGAACTGCCAAACGTGTGAGGGGTGTCCCAAAATGGGTGCGGTGGGCGCATGCGCGCGCTGGCATTTGAGCCTTCGGTGGGGCCCTTTGTGGGGCCACGAAACGTGTGAGGGGTGTGCCAAGCTGGGTGCGGGTGGCCGCATGCGAACGCTGGCATTTGGGCCTTCGGTGGGGCTCCCTATGGAGCCACGAAACGTGTGAGGGGTGTGCCAAGCTGGGTGCGGTGGCCGCATGCGAACGCTGGCAGTTGGGCCTTCGGTGGGGCTCCCTATGGAGCCGCGAAACGTGTGAGGGGTGTGCCAAGCTGGGTGCGGTGGCCGCATGCGAACACTGGCATTTGGGCCTTCGGTGGGGCTCCCTATGGAGTGACGAAGCGTGAGAGAGGGGTGTGCCAAACTGGGTGCGGTGGCCGCATGCGAACGCTGGCATTTGGGCCTCCGGTTGGGCTCCCTATTTGGGCCTTCGGTGGGGCTCCCTATGGAGTGAGAGGGGGGTGCCAAAATGGGTGCGGTGCCCGCATGCGAGCGATGGCATTTGGGCCTTCGGTGGGGCCCCCCTTGGAGCCACGAAACGTGCGAGGGGTATGCCAACATGGGTGAAGTGGCCGCATGCGAACGCTGGCATTTGGGCCTTCGGTGGGGCTCCCTATGGAGCCACGAATCGTGTGAGGGGTGTGCCAAAAATGGGCGCGGTGGCCGCATGCGAACGCTGGCATTTGGGCCTTCGGTGAGGCTCCCTATGGAGCCACGAAACGTGTGAGGGGTGTGCCAAACTTGGTGCGGTGGCCGCAGCGAACGCTGGCATTTGGGCCATCGGTGGGGCTCCCTGTGGAGCCACGATATGTGTGAGGGGTGCCAAAATGGTTGATTGGTTGGAAGGCACAGGAAGAAATCGGAGGAGGAAGGGGAGGAGGAGAGGAGAGGTGGAGGAGAACGCGGGGCGCTGTCTCTTCAAAACGAGGAACCAACACCACAGGATGGTTGGGGAAAAAAGCTCCCTATCCATATCCACACGCACGGCTTTGCGGATTAGACTCCTCGGCCGCGCCCCCATGGAAAGGGTGTTTTTTTTGCGCGGGTCTCCCGGCGTGGGACTTCTCCACGAGATCGTGCGTCCTTGGGACCGCGCCTCTGTATTTTGGTCCGCGAGGGCATGGGTACGCGTATTTTCGCCCCGCGTGAACAAGCGAGACGGAAGGGTTCGCTATGTGTTTGTGGTTGAGGGGTCGCTCTGGGTATACCCGATCGCCAGACTGAGCGAGTCGAGATGGAGTTCTTGGGACAAGGGGTTGAGAGCTCCACGGCTGGCTTTTTTCTGACCTCGGCCCATGGCTTGCAGCGCGCTTGCAAGTTCATGGTGGCAAAGCGTCCGAGTGAGAGCCCATGGGGGAAGCCCGGCCCAGGTGCTCACAAGCACGACGCCATGCCACGGTATCGAGTCAAATCTTGTGTCGAAAAGATCAAGACGTCGAGCATAATCTATCCCCGTTCTTATCGGTTGCCCGCCTCCCTTCTGCATCCTGCCTCCTCCCTCTCATGCACACCCTCTTTCTCAGATTTCATTCTATAGCACCTCTGAGATGTGCCACGCCGTGCTGGGAGCGGAAAGGGGAGTGACGGAAGCGAAGAACGTCGCATGAGGGGAGAGGGATGGAGGGCCAGTCACGACCGCGAACAGAGAGGCGTCAAGCCGACGGTCGCCGAATGGCGGGCAGCGCGGTATGCGCATCTGCTTTTCCACGCCGCCTGTCAGTTCGATACTTGCTCGAGCTGAACGAGTGAGAAGGGCCGTTGCCCGCCGAGATGGAGGGAGGAATGGGGAGAGGGGGAGCTTACCCAGGATTGTGGTTGGGGCTTTCGTTGAGGAACGTTGGGCTCGTTCTCTGATGAGGGCCGCGGTGATGCCCATGGCCATGTCTCCACTGGTGTCCCACCCGTTTCTGGACCCAGACTTCCTCATTGCTGGGTGCCCTCCCCCCACGCCCTCGCAGCACCCGTTGCGCAGGAGGGGCAGCGCTCCACTGGGAGCCGGCGGTAAACCGTCAACCTTGGTTACCGCCGGGAACTCGTAGAGCTTCCTTGCGATATGCACGAAGGGCATGCGTGCGCGGCAATCTCGCATTCCGCGCGCGCGAGGGCGCGGTTTCATGGAGGAGGAGGTGAGGAGAAGGAGGAGTGAGGAGGAGAAGGAGTGGAGGAGGCTGAGGAAGAGGAGGAGGAGCAGCGCTCCCTGAGCGGAGCCCCCCGTGAGGCCCCGGAGCCCCTTGCTGGGGCCGCCCTGCCGTTGGGGAGGAGGCCCGTGCACGGCTGGGACCAGGAAGGCCAGCGGCGGGCGAGCGAGAGGCCTCGCGGCGCGGAGCCACGACGGGGGGTGAGTCCCCCCCCCATGGGCCGAGGTTGGCAGGAAACCGCCCGTCGTGATTTTTGACGAAGCGAGGCGGTTTGGGAAGGAGGTGGTGGAGGAGGAGGAGGAGGAGGAGGAGGAGGAGGAGGAGGAAGCGGGGAGCAACCGACAGCGCATCCCAGACATGCGACGTCGTGAGTTTCTCAAGACGGCCTCCCTGGAGACCTGGACTTCCCCCCAGGACAGGCTCCTCATCCGGAGCCGTTTTTTGACGGTCCCGGGGCCCAGCGAGGCCACCCAGAGGCCGAACTTGCGAACAACCGTCGTCTCGAGTTTCTCGAGACGTTGGAGGTCTGGCATCGCCTCTGGCCCCGCAGGCTGCTCGGGTGGCGAGGCGAGGAGGTTTGGGAGGAAGGAGGAGGAGGAGGAGGAGGAGAGAGGAGGAGGAGGAGGAGGAGGAGGAGGAGGAGGAGGCGGAGGAGGACCAGGAAGGAGAGGAGGAGGAGGAGGAGGAGGGAGGAGGGAGGAGGTGGGGAGGAGGAGGAGGGAGGAGGGGAGGAGGAGGAGGCGGAGGAGGAGGAGGAGAGGAGAGGAGGAGAGAGGAGGAGGATGTTTGAGGAAGCGAGGAGGGGAGCAGCCGGCAGCGCATCGCCCCTGGCCCCGCAGAGGCTGCTCGGGCGGCGAGCTCGGCGGGGGCGCGCCCGCCGTGCGGCTGTACGAGCGCGCCGGGGTGGTGTTCTCCCCCCTGGGCGCCCCGTGGGCGCGCGGCCGCGGCATGGTGCAGATGCGCAGGAGCGGCCGGGCTTCACACGGTGGGGGGCCTCCCTCCTCCTCCTCTCCTCCTCCTCCTCCTCCTCCTCCTCCTCCTCCTCCTCCTCCTTCCCCTCCTTCCCTCCTCCTCCTCCTCCTCCTCCTCCTCCTCCTCCTCCTCCCTTCGTCGTCCTCCTCCTCCTCAGCCCCGGGGCCCGTCCGCGCCGGCCCGCCCCCCCGCTGAGGCGCAGGACGAGAGAGACAAGCGGTGGGGGCGCTCGTGAAGGAATGTGCCCCGGAGGCCTCAGGCCCTGGATATGTTCCCTTGTTCAGGGGGGGGGGGCCCATGCCAAGAGACACCCTGCTTGCCTCCAGGGTGTCCCGGGTTTCCTGGGTTTCGGTGGTTGTGCTGTGGAGAGCGCGACGCTCCCACACCAAAAGTCCGTGGACGTCATGGGGTCTCAGGGTTGGGTTTCTTGTGGAAGGTTTCTTGTGGACTGGCCTCCACTGTACGGTGGGGGCGCTCGTGAAGGAATGTGCCCAGGAGTCCTCAGACCCTCGAGGTTTCCTTATATTCTGTATCGTCTAACCGATCCCTATCCCCATCCCCATCCACATCTCGGGCCCCACCGTCTCACCACCTCAGTTGGGGCTGTGCCCTTCGAAACCTGAGCTTCATACGAGAAAGACATATTATCGGGAGCCTTGAGACTGGGGTCACTGCAAGGGTCAGCCAGAGCGCCCGACCTTGCAGGATCCTGCAGGCGCCAGGCTCGCACTGACAAGGGTCTGGGTGCAGGATCCTGCAGGATCCTTCGCATCGACCCGGGCTCGGGGCAGGATCCCGCAGGATCCCGCAGGATCTTGCAAGGCCCGACTGACCCGGGTCTGGATGGACCCGGGCCAGCAGACCCCCGAACACCCGGCGGGGGCGTTCGTGAAGGAATGTGCCCAGGAGGCTTCAGACTCTGGAGGTCTTCGTATATCTGGGGCGCTCCAGAAAGGGCCCTGCCTTCGCGAAGAAAAGAAGTCGTCATCTCATCCGCGGCGGAAGGCGGCGGATACTCGGCGAACGTAACACGAGACTGCCTCCGCGGGCGGACGCCGGCGGCGGGGCGGCGGTAGGTGGCGGGAGCAGAACAGGCGCGCTCCAGAGAGGAGCATGCTTTCGGGTTCAGGCTTTCCGAACTCGGGCGGCGCCGCGTCCTGCAGGGCCCCCCGGCGGACTGGCGGCGCCTGCGGTCGGCACGGAGCCTGGTCGAGCCGTGGGTCCGGCCGACCTTCCGACCGCCGGGCGGCGGCGGGCCCGGGGGGTGGCGCCGCCCGCCCAGATCTGTGGCGGTGATGTCCACTGCCAGGCCTCAGTGTGCGTTCCACCGTCCGCCGAGCCCCGGACTCCTCGTCTCCATGGGCTTCGTATCCAGTGCCCTCGCCGTGCAGCGGGCGCACCAACAAAAAAAACACAGCGGCCTGCCAGCAGGTACCCCGCGGAAGGAGCCGATCCCCCGTCGACCCCAGGGGCCCACGGAGGCCTGGTGGGCACCTCGGACCCTCAAAGATGGCCGACGCATGCTCCCACATCGTCCCAGACATGTGACGTCCTGATGTTTTCAGGACGGCGTCCCCGAAGTCCAGAACCTTTCCCCGGGGCCGGTTTTTCATCCTGAGTCGTGTCTTGACGGTCCCGGGGCCCGGCGAGGGCCCCAAGGGGCCGAACATTGAGAGAAACGTGCCGCGTTTTGATTTCGGTTGCGACGCGATCATGCCTGGGTTCTTGGAGCCAGATCCCTGGTCCTATGTGCTTGCCCTGTCGATACCGACGCCCCCCTCCGTGGGTCTTTGCCCTCCCTGGGCCTCCCGAGGAGGGACGGAGCGGCTCGTCGCGGCGTCCGGGGGACAGCCCCCCACGGCATCGTGGCCAGAAATGGCCCCTCGGGGAGCGGTCCGGGGAGCAGCGCTGCCGGCACCTCTGTGCTCCACAATCGACTAGACGTAAGAGGGACCTTTCGCCGGAGTGACGTTTGGTGCGGGCCCACTGGGGCCCCCCGATTGCCGAAAGCGATGCGGAAGTGGCGTCTTGCGCGCTCGTGTTTGGTCTTCCCAGGGCCCCCCAGAAGCCACGCACCAAAGGTCACTCTTGCCCAGGGTCACTCTTGCGAGTAGTCGACACCAGGGGTGACGCTTGCCTTCGGTCGGGCCTGTCCCTCTACAGTAGGAATACGCAATCATAGTCGACAACAGCAAAGGGTGGGGACGATGTTTCGATTCTTGTTTGACTATTGTTGCAGATCTTTTTGGGTATGTTCTGGATTTCGTCCAACATCCGCTTGCACGACTGCGCTGTGGCACGGTGCCCAGGAGCGGCCTGAAGGGAAGCGTCTCTGCTGTTGCTGGCGGCGGCACGCCGCGCAAGACGAGAGACCACCGTGGCGTCTGGGCACCGTTCCCGGGCCGGCCCCGAACGCGCAGGGTCCGAAGGAATCCCTGGGATTCCCTTCGGGATCCTCTGAGCTTCCTATGACATCCTAAGGGTGTCCTGAGGAATCCTATGGATTTTCTGGGGAGTCCTGCGGGCTTCCGAAGGAATCCCAGGAATGTCCTAAGAAGTCCTTTGGATGTCCCAAGAAATCCCTAGGATGTCCTAAGGAATCCGGTGGATTTCCGGAGGAGTCTCACGGATTGCCGAGGGAATCCTACGGATGCCCGAAGGAGTCCCAAGGATATCCTAAGGATTTCTATGAAGCGTTCAGGATCATCTTTATCATCATCCTCGTCATCATCTTCATCATTATGCTGAGATCTCTGGGAAAAATATGATCCCTCCTGGACCCTGAAATCTATTATTAATCGCTTCGCTCATTCCGCCGGCCCGTATTGTGCCATCGCAGGCGTTTGCTTGCGCGTTCGTGGCCTCTTGGAGCCTCGGTGGGGCCGTTTGGGGCCTCTTGGCGCCTCTTTTTAGGCCTCTTGGAGAACTCGGGAGGCCTCCAGGGGGCCTCCTGAGCTCTCGTGACGGTCTCTTGGGGGGCTTTCGGCGGGCTCTTGGCGGTATTTGTTGGTCCTCTTGGGGCCTGGGGCCTGACGTTGTTGGTCCTCTTGGGGCCTCACGGGAGCTTATTGGGGCGTCTTGGGGGTGTCTTGGAGAGTCTCTTGGGGCCTCTTTCGGGGTCCTGGGCGCCTTCTGGGGCGGAGGGCTCGATTTTTCAGTTCTCGGTTCCCTTCTTGAGCCCCTCTTGGGCCCGTCTTGGGGCCTCTTGGTCCGCCTTGGGCAGCACTTGGGCCGTCTGGGGGGCGCTCTTGGGCCGCTCCGGGGCCGTCTTGGGAGCCTCGTGGGCCGTCTTGGAGCAGTCTTGAAGGCCTCTTGGGCCCTCTTGGAGCGTCCGGAAGCGAAAAGGCCAGAACGCAAAAAAACATAGAAAAAACAAATGAAAATCAACGATTTTGGCAACTTGGGGCCCTCTTCGGAGGCCTCTTGGAAGGCCCTTGGAGCGTCTTGGAGGCCTCTTGGGCTGTCTTGGGGCCATCTGGGGCGTCTTCGGGCGATCTTTGGCCGTCTCGGGCCTCTCTTGGACCGTCTAGAAAGCTTCTCGGGGCCCTCTTGGACCGATCTGGAGCCCTCTTGGACTCCGAAACAGAACTCCGGCATCTCTGACCCGACCTTGCCGGGGACTTGCCGGGGACTTGCCGGGACCTTGCCGGGGTACTTTTCGCCCGGGAACCCCCAGGGGCCGCCCCGCGCGCGCGAACTAGAAATACTGTTAACCAGGTACCGGAGATCTTAGCACGCCCTGGCCCGTTGGGCCGGGAATTATGATCCCTCCTGGACCCTGAAATTTATTCCCAGGGGGTTATTATCAGGGGGGTCGATAAGACGTGCGAGTGGCCTTTGGCTGGACTGACCTTTGATGCGGGCCCACTGGGGTCCCCCGATCGCTAGACGCGCCCAGCTTTGGCCCCCCCGCGTCCCCCGTTGAGCCGCTAGCCGCGCACCAAGGGCCACTCTTGCCTACACTCTTGCCTAGGGTCGGTCAATCTCGCATGTAGCCGATTGTCCTCCGCACCCTGAGATCACCCAACGCCCAACAGCATTTGCGGCAATTGCTGGGGGCATTGCAGGGAAGCTGGAGAGAGTGGCTGGGCCAGCCCAGGCCGGTGTTCCTCAATTTTTGCCAGCCTTGGCGTCCTCATCCAGACTGTTTCTGGCTTGTCTCAGACCCTGCCAGTTTGTCCGTCCCTGGCCATTGTCAGTTTCACTTGAGTGACGTACAGAAAAATACACGGGGTCGTCTGCGCCGACATTGGCGCGTAAGCTGCCCGCGTAAGCTCGCGCGTTGGCCCAGGCGCCCTCGCTTCAAGCGTGGCATAGCGTGCCGCGAGTGCGGCCCGCGTGAGTCACCGCGCAAGGTCGCTGTGCCATCTCGCGCCTGACGCGTGTTGGATCGCCGCCCGCTTGGATCCTCCCAGGTCCACCCTCCTCACTCTGTGGCGGCCCCGCAGGAGAAAGAGGAAGAAGGGCGAGCGCCTCAGAAGGCCGCCCTGCGCCGACGAGCGGGGCTCGGCCGCACACGGTCGGCCCGCCCGCTCCGTCGCTGCTCTGCTCGAGATCGGGAGGGGCCGATCGGGTTTCGTGGCCCGGCAGGCGGCGGAGCGAGCTGGCCGAGTCGAGGTTTTATTCGGGCACGTCCTTGCACAGGAGGACGATTCATACACTTATATACCTAAAACATAGAACAGCAACAAGCAACTAAAACACATGATAGTAGTCTCCTCGCGACATGTCGCACGCTTTTGAGCATGCCCGACGGTGTCTAAGTTTTTCCAAAATCCGCCTGGAGGAGGACATGCCCGACCTCAGTCGAGGTCCACATCTCAGAGGAAGGAGGCGTACCTACGCCGCTACCCTTCCCTCGTTTTCGCTTGGTTGGGCCTCCTCGGAGCCTCTTGTCGCCAGGGCCCGACTCGTTTCGACATAACAGCATCGTACCCTTTGGTTTCCCCAATGCGGGGCCGCAGATGACCGTGGATCGGTGGCCTGGCTCCTGAGGCGAGCGCCCCAAGCTCATCCAGGTGCAGACGTAGGCGGAGCGGCGGCGCCACGTCTGCAGCCAAAAGGCGCCCTGCGCAGGTGCAGGCGCCGTTGTATGGGCAGCCTGGCGGCCGCGGTCGCGCCAGTTTTCCGCAGCACTCTGGGCAGCTCGGAACCGCGCTGATTCTAGATTCTAGAGGAAGGGACGGCTGGCGTGAGTGAGGAGCCGCTGGCGCGACGCCCACGGAGGGGCGCGGGGCCGGGGGGAGGGGCGCTCGTGCTTCCAAGTGAGATCGCGGGGGGGGGGGGGGGCGGGGGAGGCTAGGCAGCGCCCAGGGCGCCTCGCATGAGGTACAGACGCCACTGCGCAGGCAGCCTTGTGGTCGCGGCCGCACTGGTCATTAGCACCAGGACTCGCACAAACGCTTAACGGTTTGCATGAGTGACTTGCCAGGTGGCGAGGGCGAGGGTCACGAAAAGGCATCAAGAAGCATCATTTTCATTAGAACGGTCAGGAACGTTCGTTGGTTCGCGTGTCGTGCCTCCGGCCTTGGCCCACCGCGCTTCGGCTTCACACGATAACCTCAGAGGGTCTTCGATCCCCCAATTACGGGAACATACAGTCGGGGCCTTGAAGAAGCAACGGTTTTCGTTGGGGAGGGGCTCCGTGTTCCTTAAATGTTTCGCAGCTTGCCTCGGGCTTTCCCTAGATTTCGACAGGAAATCGAAGGTTAATTTGTGGAAAAAAGGGGCCTCGTTCCTTCTTTAGGGTTCCTTAGGTCAACGCCCCGACTGTATTCATGTCTTTGCACGGGCTTGTTGACGGACTTGGGCCCTCAACAATACTTGGAAAAGGATTCCCCCCCCCGCGGCGGCCACCGCTCAGGCCTCCGCCGTCGTCGTCGAAGTAAGGTCGTCGCCATCGCACTTGCCGAAGGCCACCTGAAGGCCCCCAGATGGTCACCGACGCACAGGAGGAGGAGGAGAAGAGAAGGAGGAGGAGGAGGTGGAGGAGGAGGAGGAGGAGGGGATGCCCCCCCAACTCCTTGCACGGCACGAGGGGGAGCACGAGCGAGGGGGGGGGAAGACGACGCGGAGGGGAGGGCCGAGTCCTATGCTGCCAGCCGAGATCTCAGGGGGGGGGCGGGGGCGGCAGCCCGCCTCCCCCTTCCCCAATAGTCGACGTGCCGACTCGTTCCCCCGCCTCCTGCCCCCCTCGGAGCTTAGCGACGCTGCTGCGTCCGCCTGCGGGGCCGAGTCTCGCTGCCAGCCGAAATCTTAGGGAGGGGGGGGGGGGGGCGACGGCAGCACTCAAGTACAGTTCCTCTGGGGTAGCCGCTTCCCCCCTTCCCCGGGAGTCGACGTGCCGACTCGTTCCCGGCCTCCTGCCCCCCACGGAGCGGAGCGACGCTGCTGTGTCCGCCTGTGCGGCAGCGAGTCTCGCTGCCAGCCGAGATCTTGGGCGGGGGGGGGGGGCGACGGCAGCACTAGTACAGTTCCTCTGGGGTAGCCGTGCCCCCCCTCCCCAATAGTCGACGTGCCGACTCGTTCCCCGGCCTCCTGCCCCCGCCTCGGAGCGGAGCGACGCTGCTGCGTCCGCCTGCGGGGCCGAGCCTCGCTGCCAGCCGAGATCTTAAGTCTTTGGGGGGGGGGGCGACGGCAGCACTCGAGTTCCTCTGGGGTAACCTTAAGTCGGGCGTGTCCCCCTACAGGGGGATTTTCGACGAAAAATGAGAAATACCCCAAAAATACAAAAAATAGCCTGGGGACTATTTTGGGGGTATTTGTTTACCTTGTTGGGGCATTTTTGCGGTGCGGCAAGCGAGAGAGGTCTCCTGACCGCAGCCTTCCGACTGCACAGTCTGGCTCCTCCTTCTCCTCGTCCTCCTCCTCGTCCTCCTCCTCCTCCTCGTCCTCCTCCTCCTCAATCGAGATTCGGCTCGGACGTTGGAGTCTGATGCAGCGTCCTGCAGGCTCCTCCGCTGAAGGTCCCGCTCGCTGCTCTGTCCGCCGTGGCAGGGCCCCGCGCCCAGTCGCCAGTCGGCGTCGGGCAGGACCCTCCGCAGAAGGGAAATTCAAGAATAGTACAAGATTAGTCTGGGGAAGATTGTTCGTGCTCTTTTGATTGTTCTTGTATTTTTCCTAACCCTCCTGCGGTGCGTCCTCGCTTTGACTAGAGCACTGCGGTCGCACACCGTCTTCCTTCCTTCCTTCCCGCCTCCTCTCCTGTTCTTTCCTGCCACCTCGCCCCTTCCTGCGTGCAAGCTTGCTGGCACTCCCTGGGTGGCTTCGACTGCTGGAACTCATGCGGAACTCGCGCCACTTCAAGGCCGGCTGGGGGGTACAGCGGAGCGACGTCTTACGCGGACCACCAGTGGTGGACCACCAGGATACATCGACCTGGGAAACTGTCGCCACTTTCCAGGGATGCTGGGGGGTGCAGCTGATTGCCATCCTACGCGGGCCACCAGAAGACCTCGTCATCCCTGGGGGGGGGAGATGGGAAACTGTCGCCATTGTTGAGGGCTGCCCGGGAGTGCAGCGGAGTGACGTCCTACGCGGACCACCAGCAGACCTCGCCATCCTTGGGGGGCCGCGATCTGCGGAATTGTCGTCACATTCGAGGGTTGTTGGGGGGTGCAACGAAGTGACGACCACCAGGAGACTTCGCAATCCCAGGGGGGCGACCTGGGAAAATGTCATCATTTTTGAAGGCTGCTAGGGGGTGCAGCCGAGTGAAGTCCAACGCGGACCACCAAAAGACGTCGCCATCCCTGGGGGGGTGCGATCTGGGAAACTGTCGCCATTTTTGAGGGCTGCTGGGGGGTGCAGCGGAGTGACGTCCTACGCGGACCACCAGAAGACCTCCCCATCCCTGGGGGGCTGCGATCTGCAAAACTGTCGCACATACGAGGGCAGTAAGTTGGGGGGTGCAACGGAGTGACGTCCTACGCGGACCACTGGGAGACCTCGCACTCCTTGGGGGGGAGGGGCGGTTGCGACCTGGGAAAGTGTCGCCATTTTGAATGCTGCTGGGGGGTGCAGTGGAATGACGTCCTTCGCGGACCACTAGGAGACCTGGCCATCCCTGGGGGGCTGCGACCTGGGAAATAGTCGCCGGTTTCGAGGGCTGTTTGGGGGTGCATTGGAGTTGCGTCCTACGCGGACCACCAGGAGACCTCTTCATCCTTGGGGTCCAGCTGTGTGACGCCGTTGTCGGTTACCTTGGGCTGTTTCGATCCCCGGGGTCGTCAGGAAGGAAGCAGAGAAGCTGGCGGGCGAGCTGGGCCTCGCTCTTTTCTGGCACGAACTAGAAGCAGGCAAAATCATGTTCTCGAGCGCCGCGGCGACACGTCGCAGGCAGCGCTGCATCTTTGATGCACGACCGATTGAAGCAAAACTCTTCGGCCTCCTCCAGTCACTTTCGTCGTCGTCCTCTGCCCCTTGCCACCTTCTCTCTGCGGATGCCGTACTGACGGTCCCGCCCCCCGTGCGTCTTTGTCTTGTCGTTCGTTCCCGCCTCCATGTCCTCCTCCAGCCCGGGCCATCGTTCCTCGTCCCTCTGCTGTTGTCCTGTGAACCGTGCCACGTGAGCGCATCCCATGTATCAGGAGGGCAAGAAACACACAGACACAATTAATCGGCGATTCCCTAGAAAATATGGGAAAATATGGCAAGTGGGGGGCAAGACAAAAACCCAGAAAATATGGGACAATATGGGGGATCCTTTTATTCGTGTGCATTTATTTGTGTGTCCCAGGGCCCCTTCAATGTAGCTCGCACGAGATCTAGTCCGTAGCCCTTTTGGCTCAGGCGGCTCCGCGCCCCGCCCCCCGGGAGAGGCTCGGGCCCCGAGCGCCCCGCCGCCCGACGCTCCGCATGGCGCCGCCGGGCCCAGGCGAGGCGCTCGAGGCGGCGCGCCGCTGGCGCGGCCGCCTCGCAGAGGGCGAGGGGGCCAGCGAGCTGAGCGACGCCGCCCTCGGCGGCTTCCTGTGGCAGGCCCGGGGGGACGAGGGCCGGGCGGGCGAGCTGCTCCGGCGGCACCTGAGGTGGCGGAGGGAGAGCCTGCCGGTGGCGCGCGGCGAGGTGGCGGAGGTGCTCCAGGCGGGGGGGCTGGCCGTGCTGGAGGGCACGAGCGCTGCGGGGCACCCGGTGCTGCTGCTGAACTTTAGGCGCCTCATGGAGGCGGATTTCAGCCAGGAGGGCGAGCTGGCCCGGCACATCCGGGCCGCCGTGTACTGTGCCGAGGAGATGCTGTCCAGGATGCCGCCAAATGTGAGCCAGTGGGTGTCGATCATCAACTGCACGGGGATCATGATGCCGCCCAGCGCCTTCCTGCAGGGCTTCCAGCAGACGTTCAAGGCCAACTACCCCGAGCGGTGCCACAGGATCATCCTCTACCCCATCCCGAGGCTCATCGCACGCGTGATTCAGGGCGCGATGCAGTGGGTGCCGGCCAACACCAGGGACAAGATGAGCTTCGTGGCGAGCCTGGACGACGTGTGCAGGGCGGCGGGCCTGGCCAGGGAGCAGCTGCCAGAGCACCTGCTCGACCCCAGGCCGCTCCCGGCGCCGCCAGGCGCGCTGGCGGCGCCCGAGGCGCCTCCCAGCGAGGAGGCCGCCGTCGAGGCTCGCCAGGAGGAGGCGGCCGCCTCCCCGCGGGAGGCGCCGGAGCACGAGGGCGCGGGCGCCCGGCGTGCGGAGGGGGGAGACGCGAGGCGCTGGCCGCACTGGGGGAGCTGGGCGCTCCTCTGCACGTCGAGGTCGGCGGCCGCGGTGCTCGCCTGAAGCCCAGCCTCGGCTCGCAGCCGGCCCTCTGGCGGGCGGCGCTGTCCGAGCAGTGGTCGGCATCCAGACCTGCAAGAGGTCAGCGGCCTGTGGGTGTGCGCCAAGTGTTTGCAAGTGCCGCAGGGAGCGACGATGGTCGCAGGGTTTGGCCGCCATCCCTGATGAATGAGCCCAGATGGGCTACGTGAGGCAGAGTGCAGGTTCATTTGCCTGTGCAGCGGCACATGCACGGGCAAGTGTTCCCGCACATTTTTCCTTCATGTTTGAAGCATCCGAGCCAATGTTTGGTAAATTGCTGGCGAGTTGCCAAGCTTCCACGAAGCGTGCGAGCAAACACTCGCAGCAGGCAACGTCCAGTTGCGACACGCCATTCAGGAATCAGCGTTGTGCTGGCCCATCGAGCTCGCTATTTTTCTAGCCCATCGTCCCATCGTGCTCGCCATTGTTAGATGACGAGTTTTTCTCCACGTGGCATCGAGCACATCCTTATCATCCTGCCAGGTCGATGATATATTCAGTGTGTAGCGTTCAGCCGTGCAGGCTTTGCCCAGTGCGACAAACTCCTGTGTCCTCAAGTGCGGAAAAAAGCTCGCACAAGATATAGCGGCGCCTGCACTGCCACTGCCCTGGCAAAGTTGGAGCACCCCCCCTTGTCATTTGATGTAATTGTACGAGCGTGAGTGATTCGAATATGTTTGTGTTGCTCGTTTTTTGGTGCTTATCAAGGTTCTGTACCTCAGCAGCTTGCTAGTGTACCCACGTGCGTGTTGTTCCATAGCCACTGTTTGATCAGACATGCGCGCCGCCCAAGGGGTCACGCGAGCGCCATCGATCGCCAGAAGCAGGCAGAGAAAGAACTAGTCCACTCCACTCCACTCGGGTACGTCACGGGATACTTTGGACCAATTTTCCTTATTCCCAAATCCGCCTGTGGGAGGACAATGCCCGACTCAAGCCTGTTCCGCGACCCCTTGGTGCCCCAACGTGCGGTCTTGACCCCCCTCCCCGTTCCGAGCCCCCTCTCTTCTCGGCCCGGGCGAGAGCTGACTATAGCCAGTGCCAGAAGTTTCGTCGATCAGCAGCTGGGGCCGATGATATAGCGTTGGTGAGCGCAGATCCGCGTCCTTAGCGTCGACTCGACTCGTGTGGATTACAGTCGGGGCCCTGAAGAAGGAACCCTTTTCGTTGGGGAGGAGCTCCGCGTTCCTTAAGTGTTTCACAGCTTGCCTCAGGCTTTCCTTAGGTTTTCGATACGAAATCGAAGTTTAACTTATGGAACATAGGGGCCTCGTTCCTTATTATTTAGGGTTCCTTAGGTCAACGCCCCGACTGTAGCGTCGATTGGCGTCTTCCACGCAGATGGATGAGCGTCGAGGCGACGGGGCGCTCGCGAGGCGCGAGGTCGGCGGAGGGCGGCGAAAGAAGAAGCGGACGTCAGAGTTTGCGCTCGGCGGCACTGTGTGGGAGCCTAGTAACTTTCGCCAAAGGCGCCAAATATCCTCCTCCCTCCTCCTCCTCCTCCCTCCTCCTCCCTCCTCCTCCTCCTCCTCCTCCTCCTCCTCCTCCTCCTCCTCCTCCTCCTCCTCCTCCTCCTCCTCCTCCTTCCTCTCTCCTCCTCCTCCTCCTCCTCCTCCTCCTCCTCCTCCTCCTCCTGCTGGGAGCCTGGCGCACCCTCTCAAGTCCGTCCTCAGCGTCGACTAGCGTCGATGAGTGCCTGGAGTCGAGGAAACAGCGCCGATCCAGCGTCGGCTGGCGTCGATTCGCGTCGACCTGGCGTCGACCAGCGCCGATTCGGACGGGCCGACGAGATGCTGTGGGAGGCCCCCGTGAGCTGCCGCCGAATTTGCGGTCCCGGGGCTCCCAGAAGCCGCGACATGAGGCCAAATGCTTTTTTGCTCGGATGGCCTTTTCCGGATTGCCAGCCACTCCTCTTCGGATTGCCTGTCTTCTTTTCGGACTGCCAGTCCTCTTGGGATTGCCATTCCTCTTCGGTTGGCCTGTCTTCACTGTGGATTGCCAATCCTCCGGGGATTTGCCTATCTTCTGGGGATTGTCAGTCCTTTGGGGGGCCTCGCCCCTGGTACGACCAGGCGCGCCGGGCGACCCGCGCGACTGCGTGGGCGCGCGACTCTCTCCAGGCTCCCCGCGTGGCTCTTGCCACGCTCGGGAGCCTCGAGTCAGGAGGGGAAAAAGCACACAGACACAATGAATCGTCGATTCCGCAAAGAAGATGGGAGACTATGTGAAGTGGGGGGGAAGACAGAAACCTAGAGAATGTAGGAAAATATGGGGAATCCTGTGAGTTGTGTGCGTTTATTTGTGTGTCCTTGGGCCCATTCATTGAGACAGGGGTCAGTGCAAACGGGGGTCAGCCAAGGCAGTGGAGATTTTTCAGGGCCTTGCGAAGGCCCCCTCTGGCTGACCCGAGCCAGCGAGCCGCTCGTGGCCGCGAGGCGGCCGCGCCCATATTGGCTGACCCGGGCTTTTGCGAAGACTTGCGGCGTTGCAGTTGCTGTTTCCTGCGCTGCAGTTTTTTCGGTTTCCTGCGGACCCGGGTCTGGATGGACCCGGGTCAGGAGATCCCCGCCGGGCGTGCTCCCGGGCCACTGGCAGGCTCAATTCGCTGCCGCGCAGCTCGCCGCAGCTTTGGACCGCGACGAGCGTCTTGTCGCTGCGGCTTGCCACGCGTCCCAGACTCCCCCGAAAACCACTCGCCCGGCTCTCGGTGCACGCTGCCTCCTTGCCCCATTTTCCAAGAGGTCCGACGTCGCGAAACAGCGGGATATCGCCAATATCGCGACCCTAGCTTGATGTCGGGCGTGTCCCCCTACATGGGGATTTTCGACGAAAAATGAAAAATACATAAGAAGTACACCAAAAATAGTCCCAAGACTATTTTGGGACTATTTCTTTATCATGTTTGGTGTCTTTTTTATTTTTCGTCGAAGCTCCCCCTGTAGGGGGACAGGCCCGACTTAACCCCAGCTTTTGGACCCCTTCTCTCTCTGCGTCTCGAGCCGGGCCGATCCGTGAGCGTCCCTGGCCCCGCAGCTGGGCGAGAGCGCCTGGTGTGGAGCAGTGCGGCGCCTCGGCGCAGCTGCTCCCTCTCCTCCCCGTCCCTCCCGGCCGAGCAGCTCCGGCTTCCTGCAGAGGCCGCAGCGAGGCAGCCACCCTGGAGCCCGGCCCACGCCCCGAGCGCCCCCGACGCGGGCTCGGGCCCAGCGCCGACCCAAGAGACCAGCGCGGCCCTCGGGCTGCGTATGTCTGTCGGCCGTGTCTCTTTTCTTTCCTTGCACGCAGGCGCCTTCTGCTTCCGCTCTGCGTCTTCCCCCATCTTTTGAGCCCCATCCCCTACAAGCGTTTCGCTAGAGGCATTTACTACATTGGCGCTACGTGAGTTTTGACCCGCTTTGACCGTCCACCAAAACAAGTCTTCGGCGGGAGCGCCATTGCGAATTCGAGCTGAAGAAGTGCCGACCTCTATGTTCGATGAAGTCCTTGGCGGGATCGCCATTTCGAAATCGAGCCAGAAGGGGGTCGAAGTCCAGTTTTCGGGAGGTCCTGGACGGGAGCGCCATTTCGAAATCGAGCCAGAATGGTTTTGGATTCTAGTTTAGAGGAAGTCTTGGGCAAGAGCGCCATGCCGAAATCGAACCCGAAAGGTTCGAAATCGTTCGAAATCATTTTTTCTGAGGGCGTCTCAAGCGAAACCGTCGTTTCGAAATGGCAACGTCTGGTATCTAGAATCTAGAATTGTGAATCTCTGGCCGGATATTTCGAACGTGCGGCTTAAAACTTCCTCCGGAAAACGATCCCGATTGGATTTCGAAACCAAGTGGTTCGAATTCGAAAGGGTGGTTCCACCTGAGACTTGAGCAGCACAATGCTTGAACAGAACATTGTGTTGGGGCCCCGTGGCCTAACGGGTCCCTCTGACGTCTTCTCTCTTGTCGCGGGCGCAGCGCCACTGACGCGGTTGTGTCAGCCCCGTCGCCTGACCGGAGGCGTTGCATGTTGGCCGAATTTTCGCAGCGGTGAAGTTTTGGACACAAGGGCTTGGCATCGCTCGGACGTGTGAATTTTTCTTTCGGCGAGGACCATCGAGGAGCATCCTTGATCATTTGGCGAAGCAACCACGCACGAAACCGAAAAAACACTGGGAATGGACGTCCGAGCGATGGCCAGAGGGCCACAGGCGAGTCTCCAAGAGGGGGTTTATAACCTCCAGACCGCCCCGGTTCGGCAGCCGTGTCGTCCGAGGCCTCCCCACGAGTCATGCAGAAATGGCCCTCGAGGAGCTCCCGGGAGGCCCAGGAAGTGCCCCAAGAGGCTCCCGAAAGGGCTCCTCCTCCTCCTCCTCCTCCTCCTCCTCCTCCTCCTCCTCCTCCTCCTCCCCCTCCCTCCTCCTCCTCCTCCTCCTCCTCCTCCTCCTCCTCCTCCTCCTCCTCCTCCTCCTCCTCCTCCTCCTCCTCCTCCTCCTCCTCCTCCTCCCCCCCCCCCCCTCCTTCTCCTCCTCCTCCTCCTCCTCCTCCTCTCGCCTCAGTGCCAGCCGAGTCTTCGGTCCGGACGGCCACGACCCTGGTGTTAAAAGAAGGGCGCAGAGGTGTGCACATGACCGTGCGATGCGCAGGCATCTGCAGGCAGACATGGGAGAAAGCGCGTGATCACTGGCCGACATCCCGCTCCTCGGCCCGCCTCTTCGCGTTGGCTGCTGTTATGGTTGAATCGGGCGTGTTCCTCTACAGGAGGAGCATTGAAATTAATATAAGAAAACAGTCAGGGCACACATGTTTTTGATGCTTCCCAATATAAGATAAAACTATGTTTAGTGTTCGCCTGATATCCGCCTGTAGGGGGGCATGTCCCGACCTAATGTTAGGGCGCTTTGCTCGGCTCCTTTTACTGTTCTGCTCCCCGCGCTGCCCCGCGAAAATCGGAGGCCAAGAAGGCGGCGGCCGCGAACACCCTGGCCATGGCGCGCGAGAGGCCGCGAGCACCCGCTGCCCCAGGGGTCGCTGCGGGCAAGAGCGCCCTTTCCAGAGATGTCTGGAGCTCACAACCGCAGGGCTGGTTTCGATTCCTCCGATTCGATTCGATTCGACTTCGATGGCCTCGGATTCCGATTCGATTCGGCTTGGGATTCCGATTCGGGTTCCGATTTCGTATGGGAGGCCTGACTATGTATTGTCAATTTCCGCCGATTCGACTTCCCCCGGCTCGGCTGCCGGATGACGGAGTCGTGCTGCACACCGTTGTGCTGCCAGGCGGCGGCGACACTCCGAGCACAGGGAGATGTAGCGATGCCGCTGCTTGTCCTGGAGAGCCCTCGACGCCACGACCGACTTCGACTCGAGATTCCAGCCCGAACGCGCCCAGGAGAGGTCCGAGGAGTAGTGTCAAGTCGGGCATGTCCCTCTACAGGAGGAATATCCCAAAATAATCGAGCATAGTCTGGAGACGATTGGTTTTACTATGTTTGAATAATTTTGTGTATGGTTTTGAATATTTCCCTACCTAGGCTCTGCCTAGAAGGGTTATTACTCGGTATGCTTAAAGGGCCGGGCAATGGACCACGCGGTTCCCCCAGCATCCGCTCCGCGGTTCCCCCTGTAACGTTCCCTTACCCTGGGCGGTTCCCCCGGCATCCGCCCCGCGGTTCCCCCAGTTGCGCCCCCTGGTCTTACCCAGCTTAGCTTAGCTTAGCTTAGCTTAGCTTAGCTTAGCTTTAGCTTTAGCTTAGCTTAGCTTAGCTTAGCTTAGCTTGGCTTCGCATAGCTTAGCTTAGCTTAGCTTAGCTTAGCTTAGCTTAGCTTGCCTTATATCATATTGGCTTAGCTTAGCTTTG